AAAAAAAAAAAAAAAACATATTCGACAGCCATTAGCTATCGAATATAACATGCTAAAATTATAAAATTGGCTACGAAATTCTATCGATATTAATTATATTTGATAGTAAGTATTTGTCGATTTAACTAGTATATTCGATAGATAAAATTTCTGTTGAATATACTGATTATCGACTGCATTTTATACGACATCTTTTTTTGTTGAATATATTTGTCGATTAAAGCATAATTGACAAAAATTCCTATATATTCGACAAAAAATTCTATTGAATATACTGCGTTTTCCAATAGTGACTAAAAACTGTGAAAATTGAAAACATAAGCCGTGACTGTTTGCATGGTTTATATCCTTTGTTGATTGGTGGTCTATACTCTACTAGTTTTCAGTCTAAACTTGACATTTCAAAATAATCCCACGTTCAGCAAAATAGGCTGCTAACACCTTGCATCCATGTTAGTTTTGCATGAATTTAGAGAGAATTCAGCATGGTAAAATAGAACAAAAGGAACAAAATCAAAATTGAATGTAAGTTACAAGATTTTCCAGCTTTGTAGTCTATACTACCAAGGAAAAACCATTGGTTGGGAGACGGCTATTAGAGAGTCCGCCCCATTCAATGATTGTACTGTAACTGTAAGACACTTTTGTAAAGCTATAAATGCAGAGCCTCAAAATTAAAAGTTGTGTATCCATCGATCGTCCCTGGTCTCTTGGGCCAATGCTAGTTGCATCTTTCCCAATCCTCACCTGCCAAATTCATAAACTATCAAAAAAATGGAATTGTCTATCAGTTCCATGATCCGCCCTGTAGTTAAGTACATTGATTCAGCACTTTTTCTTTTCCATCCTCTAAAAAATCCTAATTAATCGAATTTCAAGGAAAGAAATTTGCACAAAATACATCGATAGTTGGAATCCTAATGATAGCAAATAAAATCCCTAATTTTACAGCTGAAAATGAGGTACATGTTGTACTCAAAGCAGTGGTACCTTGCGTAGGAAGAGTTTGTTAATTCCTCATGAGTAATGAATTTCTAAATTTCCATCATAAATGACCTACATTTGACAGAAATAGAGAAAGATTCGTTCTGAGCTGCACACAAACTGTCATGTCCCCAGACTATTAAAAAAAATATATGTCCATGTTGTAGATTGAGAAAATTGACCGACCATTTGATGTGCGGCTATTTCGAAACGATGTAGCAGAGGTAGCACAAAGAGGTTATGAACCATTAATCCTCCAATTCCGCTGGTTAACCTTAATTACCATTTGTTCCATAGCCAATTAATTGACAGGCATCTTTCTCCCTTAAACGTCTTAACACAATGAATTAAGTAGGAATTTGATTAGCAAGCTAGCCTCTGAAAATGATGCAATGTACTTCTGGAAATTGATTATCAAGTTCATTTGCATTTTCTGCTATGCTTTTGCATCCCCTAAACAGATCACCTTAATCAATTTTAAGAAAAGGTTTCTGGGCAACTTTTTATTTTTCTCAGCAAAAGGTAGGGAAGAAATTCTAGCTACTAAATCATAGTTGTCCCAATCACAATCATATGCACATTTCTTATAAGCATTCTGCATGTGGATGAAACAATCATCTAACTTCCATCACAGTAATTGACACATAATTTATGGAACACTTCTCTGACTTGATTTCAGGAATACCTGCTTCTTTTACAACTGCAGTGGTGATGAAAAATGCCAGTTGTTTTGGTTCTGGCAGCGACATTGTCTCATTTGAAAGCATTGAAACAGCTTCTGACATAGTGGGTCTATCCATGGCATGGTCTTGCACGCCCAAGAGGCCGATATGTATGCATCTTAATATTTGATTATGAGGGCAAATTGGCAAAATTCATCCATAGTAGCATCCATTAACTCTAAGCCTCTCCCTTGAATCCATAACCTCCAGGCCTGATAGAAATTGTGTTGCACACACAAAGAAAACCATTGTTATATTGCATGCACAAAAAACATGGTACTATTTTAACTCAAATCTTTAATATTTCCCCAAACCTACAAAATGAGCAAAGAAAGAAGAGATTAAGGGTGAAGAGAAAAAGAAACTTGGAAACTTACATATCCTATGAGGTTGAGAGGATGCACAGCATGAAAGCAGCTCATATTCTTCCTGCCACTTACAAGCTCCAGCAGCATAACTCCAAAGCTAAATACATCAGTTTTGATTGAAACAAGGCCATGGAAAGCAAATTCCGAGGACATATAACCACTAGAGAAATAATCAAAAATGTTTTTTCATTTATTTGAAGGAAAAAACACACACAATCAGCAAACACAGAAGCACAAACACATAACCATATTGTGTTGCCTTCGCTGATTAAAAAATAATAATAATAAAAACTATTTTGTGCTCGGTTGCTGAGCTAGTATGAATACTTACTATGTTCCAACAACTCTCTTTGTATTTACTTCAGATTCATTGACTCCAAATATTCTAGCCATCCCAAAATCAGATATTTTTGGGTTCATCTCATCCTCAAGCAAAATGTTGTGGGCCTTTAAGTCTCTATGTATGACTCTCTATCTGGAATACTTATGAAGATAAAGGAGACCTTGAGCAATCCCTCCAATGATGATAAAGCGCCTCTTCCAATTCAATATTTTCTGCGTAACCGGATCTTTTGGCCAAAAAAGAATGGCAAAAATTTCAACAGGCAAGACAAGTGAAAGGCAATGGACACATCTCAAATGATTAAGCAGAAAATTTACAGTTGTTAAGGAAAGCTTACCAAAGAGAAAGGAGTCCAAGGTTTTATTTGGCATATACTCATAGATTGATATATTTTCTTCTCCTTGAATGCAAAAGCCTAGAAGCCTCACAAGATTAGTGTGCTGGAGCTTTGCAATCAGTAGTGCTTTTCATTCTTGAACTCCGTCAGTCCTTGACCTGAACTTCTTGAGAGTCTCTTTATTGCTACTTCTTGCCCATCTTGTAATATTCCCTGAAATTATTTTACTCTATTAATGCCTTTCTGACTTCCCTTTTTTTTTTCTTTTTCTTTTTTTTTTCTTTCTGCTCAGCAAATGATCTGACTCATGATTTATTTTACCTTATAAACTGGTCCGAAGGCACCCACTCCAAGCTTATTTGCATCTGAAAATAGTTAGTAGCAGAGGCAATGCTTTCAAAACTGAAGACATCCCCTCCCTCTCCCCTCCTTCCCCTCCAAATCCCCTAATCGAAACCAAGGGTACGCGAAACCATTTAATTGGTTTTTTATGTAAATTAATAGTGAAAAGGTACAAAATAAAAAATAAATGCACCCTTAGAAAATTCCATTAATTAATAAACAAAAAGAAAAATGAACATATTAGTCATCAGTCTTCAGTCAATTACGAACATATGTGTAAAGAAATTGTGAAGAAACTTACAATTGGAAATTTGAGATGCGAACGGCGAGTCAACTTCTCTTCCTCGGTGGCGGTGCACAGAACGTACACTCCTCCAAACGCTTTTGCTTGAACGAGATTCGATTTCGCAGGAAAGCATGGAGGGACATGTTATTGGGCGAGGCAGCGGCAATCATGAGTTTATTATTGGAATTTTACCGAATGACTGCTAAACGAAGGAGAAGAAGATCAGGTGGGAGACGATCTGGCGGGAACGACGGAGGGGAAAAGAGAGGGTTCTGTTGCTGGTGAGTGATGGCGACACCATCACGGCGGAGTCGCGGTGGACCGGACCGGGAGGGGGAAATGTAAGGAATTGGGTCAAGGATCTGATTTAATTGTGGGTCAGAGTTTTGGCCCAGTTCAACTAAACCTTATATGAAGCGAAGCCCAATCCCAAGCCATCTCAAAATATATATATATGTAAAGAGGACAATACATGTTAGTTTTTACAAAAGAAAAAAAAAATAAGTTTTAATTTAAAAATATTATTTTTTAATAAATATTTTTAAAAATTAACTATTAAATTTAGTATTTTATTATATATCAAATTTGATTAAATATATATGATTAGTTAATTAATTATAAAAAAATTATTATTTTTTAATATATATTAAAAAATATACTCAAGGCTTGGTTCAATAGTTATAAATTTGAGATTCTAAATTAAAAATTTTAAATTTGAATCTTGAATTGAGTGAGGAGAGATTTAGGGGAAAAAAAGAATTATCTCCTTCCATATAACCCACCCTTATTAAATGTACCAAATATATATATATTAAAAAATATAAGTTTGTTATTTGAATGATTCCAGATATTAAAATAGCACACTTTGGCTAATTAATGAATTTTACAAAATAAACCCTCAAGTCTCAAAACCCCAAAGATTAAGTCCTCTAATTTTTATTTGATCCAATTAAGGCCAACTCCTTTTCATATCGTTAAAAATCCTCAATTTATAATTCTTTCACTCAACCCCCTTGATAAAGAAATTAAAGCCCAGAAACATTTCAGGTTATTATAAATAGCATGGTCTAAAGGGTGACTATGAGATAAAAGATCTGAAAATAATAAAATTTTAACTCATTCAACAAATCAAGCACTAAACAAATTATTAATAAGAAATTTTTTAAATGCTTTAACATGATTAAAGCTCATGCTTTGAGCTTATCAATAGTAGTTCAATCCCTTAATGTAAAAGATAACATTTTTTATCCTTAAAAGAATGTTTTTTTGTCCAAAAGTATCATATCTCACTACAGTTGAACAATTGAATGCATTAATATACCTTGTTGCTAATATATATAATATGATATAGCATATTCTAAAAATTCATTGGCAAGATTTTCTTATACACTAACTTGAAATCACTAAAATGAAATTAAAATACATATTTTCTTACCTTCAAGAGAGAAATGTTAAATGATTAATATATTTAAAGCACTCAAAATCTAAATAAATTGGATAGTGATACGTTTACCCTATCCATTACACATTCCGTTACACCCATTCATTGTCCATTACTTAATCCGTCTCTCTTCGTTACTACCAGCCTAGCCCTCTTGCTTTCTCTGCTCTCCTTTCTCCTTCTCTCTGCTTTTGAGTTCTCCATTTGTAGATCTGTTCCCTCCTCCTCCTTTCTTTTTCTTCTTCTTTCCCTCTCATCCCCTCTTCTTCCTTCTTTTCCCTCCTCCTCCTTTCTTTTTCTTCTTCTTTCCCTCTCCTCCCCTCTTTTTCCCTCTCTTCCCCCCGTGGGGTCTCACCATGAGAACCCAGTTTTGGGTTCTCCTTCAAAACCCATGGGACAAAGGAGAGAAAGAAAAAAAAAAAAAACAAAAAGGAAGAAGGAAAGAGGAAGAAGGAGAACCCAAATGGAGGAGAGAGAAAAAAAAAAGAGAGGAAGAAGATAATAATGAATTTTTATAAATTTCAAACAGATTTTATTTTGCTTTTTTTTTTTTTTTAATTTCTTATAAGTTGCTGGATGTTTAATTCTTTTTTACTCTTTGTGACACTTTTTTGGGTTGAATGTTTGCTTCTTACATAAATGGTAGCAAGATTAACAAACCCAACAGTTTCTAGAGTTGAAGAAGATGAAGAAGTTTAGCAGCTACTTGTATAACGGAGACCGTTAGTATGCATAACGAAAATCATGTGTGGTGAGTTGTGTGACAGGAAGGTGTATGTATATCTTTATCCAAATAAATTACATATGTGGATTCAGGATATTTATCATATTCAGCTGATAGATTATTGCAAAATGTAATATTTATGCATATGTCACCAAAGTAATTTTTAATGTATAAACTCCTATTAAAAAATTAGAAATAATTGTCCATCAAATTTATTCAACTAAGAATCCAACAAATTTTCTTCATAAAATCATTGGTTGTTAGAACTTTTGAGCAACTAAGACACAAGATTGACATCTAACACCTGATTAGAAATATTTATTAAATTGAGGAGAAGTATTATACACACTACACTCTTTTTCCCTTCACCAAAGGAAGTATTATACATATTGCACTCTTTTTCCCTTTGACATGGTTTTTTTCTTATAAGGTTTTTCCTAACAAATTTTTTGACGAAACAGTTTGATGAGCACAAAGAAGAGAGTTATGAAATAATTTATGGTGGATGATTCACTTTTCTCATCTTCCACCCTTTAACTTTCTCACCTCCTGCTTCTTCCACGCAATAATAATGATGACAAATTGCCATCATTCAATTCCTCCCTTTGTGGGTTAGTAGGTGAACATATCTTTGTAATTCATCACATCATCTTTATAACTTCTACCACCTACTTAGCCTATTTATAGGATTTGTATTCTTGCAAATTGTGTGGTGAAAAAAGGAATAGAAATACTACATTTCTTGAATTGTTTCTCCATATCTTTCTTATTTATACTCCATTTTCACTTAACTCTTTCTTTGTTTTATAATACCCTACATATTTTAGGGACTAAAAAGGGTCAAAATAAAATCACATTGTGGCCCAATGGCCACACTCGTTTGAGAAATTAAATGGTGGCACCAAGTTAGTGTTTAAGCTTGGCAATCCCAGTTGTACATCCCCAAGGTTGTTCTTATTAACCAAAAAGGGAAAAAAAAAAATCAAAATAAACGTTTCCATTTTCATTTGGACTATATACAACTAAATTGCTATCTTATTCCTCCTATCTTGGATTCCCCCTATCTTGAGTTCACTCCAATTTTGCTAAATTAAAGCTCGATCATATATATGAGGGCAAGCATTGCAGAGCATTTTTAATGCATGAAGTTGTCTTATTTCTTTCTGTTGTTCAATGACAGTTAATATGAGAAAGGTAATTTTTTAACATGCTAAGTAATTGAAGAACTAAGAAGTAAGAACAGATTAAAAGCTTCCTTGAAACTTGATTGCGAAGTTTTTCAGCAATATTCGATACAACTACTTGGTTCCATTAACCAAGCATAGAACAGACTGAAGCAAAAGAATATCCACAGTAGAATTGGGAAACTAATGCATTTCTTTGCATATTCATCTTGACACAACTCAGAGTAATTTTACAAGTTATTTAGTCTACAGTTTTATCACCAATAATGGTTAGATAGAACATGGAAAATAAAATCCCCATCACACAGTACCATCACATAGACAAATATCATATCAGAATCTGAGTGGAACAATCATCTAGCTTCCATCACGGAAATTGATACCTGATTTATGGAACAATGATGAGAGTTGATTTTAGGAGCACCTGCTTCTTTCACATTTGCAGTGGTGATGAAAAAAGCTGGTTGATTTGGTTCTGGCAGAGATGTAGTCTCGTTTGAAAGCATTGAAACAACATCAGACATGGTGGGTCTATCCACGGCATGGTCTTGTACGCATAAGAGGCCAATATGGATGCACCTTAAAATTTGATCATGAGGGCAAATTTCATCCAAAGTGGGATCAATTAACTCCAAACCTTTATCATCAGTCCAAAGTTGCCACGCCTAATTGAAACCAAGAGTATCTTACTTATACAAACTTTAAGTTATAATAATTTATTCATTCAAAATGAAGAAATAAAGAGAAGAGAATGTGCTGCGAAGAAAACAACTTACAAATCCTATAAGGTTCAAAGGATGCTCAGTATGATAACGACTTGTGTTCTTCCTACCACTTACAATCTCCAACAGTAGAACTCCAAAGCTAAACACATCAGTTTTGATTGAAACAAGGCCATGAAAGGCATATTCTGGGGAAATATAACCACTGCAAAAATGATTGAAATGGATGAAGTTTTCAATTTTCGAAAGGGAAAACACCAAAAAAAACAAATGCAAAAGATGAAAATACCATGTGCTTGGGTGCAAAGATAGCATGAATACTTACTATGTTCCAACAACTCTAGTTGTATTTTCTTCTGATTCATTCTCTCCAAAAATTCTAGCCATCCCAAAATCAGATATTTTTGGATTCATCTCATTATCAAGTAAAATGTTGCTGGCCTTTAAGTCTCTATGAATCACTCTCAATCTTGAATATTTATGAAGATAAAGCAGCCCTTGAGCAATCCCTTCAATGATGACGAAGCGCCTCTTCCAATTCAATATTTTCTTTTTAACAACATCTGCATCAAGATTTAAATTGGTATTAATTTCATCAACTGGTAAATAACAAATCAAAGGAAAAAGACTTCTCAAAAAGGACAAAATTTACCAAACAAAATGGAATCCAAACTTTTGTTTGGCATATACTCATAGATTAACATCTTTTCATCTCCTTGAATGCAAAAGCCTAGAAGCCTCACAAGATTAGTGTGCTGGAGCTTTGCAATTAACATTGCTTCATTCTTGAACTCTGTAACGCCTTGTCCTGAACTAGTGGATAGTCTCTTTACTGCTACTTCTCGCCCATCATATAATATTCCCTAAAATTATCTTATGTCAGTAATCCGTAATGGAAATTCATATTCGATTCATGATCATGATATATGTATTACCTTATAAACTGGTCCAAAGCCGCCCTCCCCTAACTTATTTGCAGTTGAAAAATAGTTTGTGGCAGAGGCAATGCTTTCAAAGCCGAATGCTTGCAAATCATTTCTTTCTTTCTTATAGCTCTTTTGTTTTTCGAATGGGAGGAAAGGAAGCTCACTGCCTTCTAGTTCTTTTATTAGCATCCTCAGGTCAATGTTTTCATCTCCTAAATAAAATGAAAGATTCAGAGTTTGAAAATGTTGAACACAAATACATAATTAAGCAAGTTGCTATAACAAGAAATTAACTAACCTTTTGATATGCATTTTTTCCAAATCACATAACAGTATGAGAATAAACTGGGTAGGACCAGCATTCCTCCAACGGCGATGGTTAGCCATAGCCACCATTTGTTCCCTGCTACATTTGACAAGCATTTTTACTACCTAAACATCTTGAAGCAACTCATAATTAAGCAGGAAATTGTTAATAGGTTAGGCAAGGAGTTTTCAAAATGAAGTGTACTTACTTTTGGAACGAAGGATGTATATGGTCTGGCCAGGGGCATCATACTTTGTTTCTCTAAAAATTCCACTTGATGACCAAATTTCACAGCCTGTATCGTCCTCAATATTTGTGGTAGCATAGGCAAAACAAGAACAATTCAACAAGCATTTGTCCCTGCAATCATGGAAAGTCAGGTTGTCACTCTCATTGAATCTGAATCCGTCTGTGGACATTATGCCATGCCCGCTGGAGATGTATCCATCATCATCAAGACGAATGGCACCCCTGCACTCAGGAAGATTTGGCTTTACACAGCCTTTGTTGTAAAAATAAGATTGATAACATGAAATAATGCTAAGGGAGTTTGCGCTTTGAGATATCAATAGTCGACCCCCATCGCCTATTGTTATACTTGGGAAGGAATATAAGTGCTTTTCAGTGTAACTAAAATATGTTTCATTCTCATTCTGGGTGAAACTGAAGTTATATCCATAATCACGCCGGGAAAAATATGGAAAGTCAGAGCTACTCTCTTGCCAAATTCCACTTCTCCAGTAGACATACCCAGGTCGCCAGATGACCAATTGTTTTGTTCCATTGGGATCCATGCCGAATGTACATGAGCCTGACCCGGGTGATTTCCAACTCATCGACGATGTAAGAGTTGTTGTAATTCCTAGTTTCATTCCGGGCAGAAGAGTGTCCGTGGGATGTTCAAAGCTTTGCCATAGAATGCCCTTCACAGTTCCATCGGGATTCAGCTGCTGGAGTACAAAATTACCGTTGTCCTTTAGAATGGCACTAGCCTTTATAGAAGCCTGAGTTGAGTATAAAGTGATGACCTCTGTCTCACCGGATAAAATCTTCAGGTTTCCATTACTGTCCACTACAAGAATTCCAGAACGGTTGAAGATTGGGGCGTCTCGGTTTGCAATCCAAAGTGGGCTCGAGACTCTTGTATCGTTTTCTTCACCTTCGCGCCCTCCTACATCGGAATCGTACCATAATCCGAAGTAGGACTTATTTTTCATGCTGGAAGATAGAAAGAATCCTAATTTGAAAATGCCAGAAGATGACTGCAGTAGCTCCCCATATCTGAGTTGTTTGCCCTGTTCTATAGTCTCATTCCAAGAGATAGAATGAACACTTGGGATTAGCAAACACAAAAGATAAAGGAGGGAGGAAGATCTGCTTCTGCTATCCATTATTCAGGAAGCTTACAGAGAAGAGAGCTATGCTTATTGGTATTGACAGACAGCGGAGAATATATTGAACCTTGAATTACCGTGCAAGATGGAGCTAACGACTCGGTCAAGAATGCAAAAGCACAGAGTCAGTGGCTGAACAATCAAAAAGTCAGTCTCAATTTATAATTGACAATGACTAAAGAAACGGCAATGTAGTTCCATTACTCTCTTATATACAGAGGTTCCAAAAGCCCTTGGTTTGAAACTCTGAATGTATAATTTTTACGTAGACTTTGGAAGTTGTTGACACTGGACATACGGGGAAAAACGACAGTGATATAATAGCCACCAAACCATTCGCTAATGACACGTGGGTTAGAGTTTTGGGGTTGGGAGAATTTTTTTAATCAATCGTGAGAATAAAACTCTTGATCACGTATACTAAACTCTTACTTCCAATTCGTCCTTATAAGCCACATTCAATAGACTCAAAACCGAAAGGACTAATTAATTAATAAACAATGAAAAATGAACACATTAGTCATCGGTCTTCAGTCAATTATGAACATGTTAGTAAAGAAATTGTAAAGAAACTTACAATTGGAAAATTGAGATGGAAACAGCGAAGTTTTTGCACCGCCACCGTTGATTCGTCGTTTCCATCTCAATTTTCCAATTGTAAGTTTCTTCACAATTTCATTACTACCATGTTTGTAATTCACTAAAGACTGATGACTAATATGTTCATTTTTTCGTTTTTGGGATTTTTTTTTAGTTTATATTCTAAAGATAAAAGTTAAGGATATTTTTTACGGTAAATGTGTATAAAAATATAAAATTTAATATTAATATTAATATTAAATATATAAATTAAATTAAATAATTAATAAATTAAAAACCAATTTTTATTTTATTTTTAAAATAAAAATTAAACATATTAGTCATCAGTCTTCTGTACGTTCCTTCGACCGCCATCGTGAAATAGTGGTTGACTCGCCGTTCTCATCTTAATTTTGGTAAAAACACTTATTAAGCCTCCAAAATTATCTCAAAATAGTATTTAATCTCCTAAAATTAAAATGAAATAGATAAATTTTTTAACTCCATTAATGATGCAAATAAGTTTTTATCGCAAATGAATTAAATAGTATTTTATGTTTAATATCATCTTAAAAGCATCAACACCCATAAATGAAAATGGCTTATTTGCATTATTAGTGTAGTTAAAGAATTTATTTGTTTCATTTTTAATTCAATGATTTGAATGCTATTTTGGTCAAGTTTAGAGGCTTAAAAAGAGTTTTTACCCTTAATTTTTCAATTGTATGTTTCTGCGCAATTTCTTTACTAATATGTTCGTAATTGCATAAAATAGAGAGGCAAGGCATTGACTAAGGCATTCATCGTGTGGTGACGCCACGATGGCGGAGTCGCTGTGGACCGGACCGGACCGGACCGCTGAAAGACGATGAATGTAAGGAGCTGGGTCCAGGATCGTATTTAATTGTGGGTCAGAGTTTTGGCCCAGTTCAACTAAACTAAACCTTATGAAACGAGGCCCAAGCGCAGGCCATAACTCTAAATTCATTATATTTTAATTAATATTTTTAAAAACTAATTATTTTTTACCAAAACAAAAGCGAGAACATGTTTTATAGTTGTATAAGATGAACTGTACTCAACTATAAAATAGGCATAATTAGAGAAAGGGAGTATCTCTAATTTCAGGAGATCCAATCTCATTTAGTGGTTAATGTAGTGTAATCTAATATAATTCAAATTACATTGTATTTTTTGAATAAAAAACCAATTATTTGAGTAAAAATTCTATTCATATCAATTATGTATATTAATTTTTAAATTGATTTAATATATCTAATTAGTTTATTGATTACACAAAATTTAACATTATTAAATATATATTAGAAAATAAATTTATTTAATCAAATGATTATACATATTACATCAATTTGAAAATTGACATCTATGATCTACATGAATACAACATAACATTTAATCCCATCGTTGGTTTTTGAAAATATTAATTATAATGTCTTCTTAAAAATTTAGGGAGGACTCATGCACTACACTAACCTCATACACACAAATGAAAAGATTAATGCATATTACTTATAACTCTCAAAAAATTCGAGTGCCAACTTCAAAAATGCTACCTTCTAATGAATGTTTTCAAAAATTAACTGTTAGATTTATTTTTCTATTAATATAAATCATACATATCAATTTTGAAATTAAATAAATATAGATAACTAGTCCACTCATCATACACCATTGTTAAATACATATTAAAAAATATAAACTTTTTGATGCAATTATTCTAAATATTATATTAACTTAAAATTCACATATATAATATTATATCAAAAGAACTTTAAATTTGATGATTAGTTTTTCAAAATATCCATTAAAAAATTGTTTTTTTTTTTTTAGTTTGGACTTTAATTTTTTATAAGAATTGAAAAATAATATATACTATTCTCATATATAAATTAAATTATTTGTGTTTTTCTTATACAATTTGTGTGTGTGTGTGACTTTAATTGATAATGATCAAAGATTTTAAAAATATTAAAATTGAAATTGACCCAGATGTTTTTCAGCTTGTGTAACTGATGCCTCTACATCTGATTCTCCCATGCTCGGTGCTGTATTTTGGTTGTAGATAGCTGAAACCTGGGCAGATTCTAGCATATCTTGAGCGTAGGTAGGGATGTCAACGGGGCCCCGCGGGGCCGGAGAGTGCCTCCCCGTCCCCGTCCCCGCGAATGGCGGGGACGGGGATCCCTGCGGGGATTTTTGACGGGGGGCAGATTTTGCCCCCCGTCCCCGTTCCCCGCGGGGAATGGGGATCCCCGCGGGTATCCCCATTCCCCACCAATTAATAACAAAGTATATATTTTTTGCATCAAACATAAATAAAAATTAATTTAACACAAATAATTAAATCAATAAAATTGTTTCAAATAGTGTTAGATTATTCTGATGGTACTAAAAAAACAGAATATAAAAACTAAAGAGTATAAATACATGATGATGAAGGGCATCTGGCTGCAATATTCTTCAAAATGGACTAGGAAAACTACAATAAACCCAAGACAGTAGAAAAAGAGAAAAGAACTCGTTACTTCAAAATGCAACATCCCTAAAGGCTAAAGTATGTATGAAGTTATGAATAGAAAAAACGAAACCTTAATCTGTTCGCAAAACCCTTAATTAACTTTCCCAACCCTAAGGAATTTGAATTGGTGGTGGAGCTTGCAATGATCCCTCAGCACTTTGCTCTTGTGTGTTAGACATTTATCACCTAAAAATAAATTTAAAAAAACAATTATACTTTTCCATTGAAATATAAAATAAATTTTCATATCAAATAAGTCATTATAAAATAAACTTTAAACTTTTCTATATTATATGTATATCAGTGTATGGCTATATGTAAAAAAAATTAACTAAGCAATTCACTAATATAAACCACTATAAGCAGCCATTAAATCTAGTAAATTCTAGCAAATCCAAACTTTCTCTATGTTAATTCAATCATAATCAAACTATTGAACTTCTTAGTTCTTACCGTTGGATGCCGAGAAGGAGTGCAAGCAGAGAGGAATCCGGCACAGGGCAACAAGCAGAGAGCAAGTCCGGCACAGTGCAGCAAGCAGAGAGCAAGTCCGGTGCAGTGCAGCAAGCAGAGAGGGGCCCGGCACAGTGCAGCAAGCAGAGAGCAAGTCCGGCACAGGCAGCAAGTCCGGCGCAGTGCAGCAAGTCTGGCGCAGTGCAGCAAGCAGAGAGCAAGTCCGGCACAGGCAGCAAGCAGCAGAGAGCAAAACCGGCACAGTGCAGCAAGCAGAGAGGGAGTCCGGCACAGGCAGCAAGTCCGGCACAATGCAGCAAGCAGCAGAGAGCAAGTGCAGAGACAAAGTTCAGCAGTCAGCAGGACGAACTCCAGCAGATCTGCAGGCTGCAGCTAATAGCTTTGACAGCAGCTCAAGGAGCAGATCTATAACAGCTCCAACAGCAGATTTGCAGCAGATCTGTAGCAGCAAGAAGGGGAGAGGAACTGAGGAAGGTTGAAGGTGAGGTTTGGCCGGCTGAAACAAAGAGTGAGTGAGGGGCTGTCTGCGAGTCTGCGCCGTGAGTGAGGACTGAGGAGAAAGGGAGGGGAAATTACCAAAGTTATGAAATAAGGGTTGGAAGGGGGGTTAATTAGGGTTACAAGTTGTAAGGAGGATGTTGGATTGGGTTGGCCGAATGGGTTGGGTTGGCCGGTTGGGTTGGATATTTGGGTTGGGTTTGATAAAATTAAATTTTTATTGAATTGGGTTTGGGTTGGGTTTAGGTTTTATTTTAAATATTAAATTAAATTTAAAATATATATTTTTTAATTTTTCGCGGGGATGGGGATCCCCACGGGGCCCTGCGGGGCGGGGAAAATTCCCCGCGAAATTTCACGGGGAGAAAATCTCCCCCATCCCCGCCCCGCGGGGAGGAATATTCCTCCCCGCCCCGTCCCCGTGACGGGGATCCCCGCGGCGCCCCTCGGGGATCGGGGGAAATTGCCACCCCTAAGCGTAGGTAACATAGTGGATAGGTTCACCCCCATTTAATGAACTAAGGGCATTGAAATACTTTTTCAGCTGTATACAACTCTTGCACACGATGAGAAAAAATCCTAATCTCGAGGCAACCTCTTCCTTTTCTCTTCCTTTTGAATCTCCTCCTTTCTAGTGATTAGTGAAGCCTCTATTCTTTTCTTTCTATGTTAATGCTCTCTCTTATGTTTAAATGATTGAATCATTTTCCTTAACCAATCAAAACCTAAAAGTTATTCACTAAAAAAAAATCAAAACCTGAAAGAAAAAAAGCTTTGCAGCTAGTGCATTGTGACAATGGATAGCGGAGCTGCGGGGCTGTGATGGTTTTTTGGGCAACAGTGCAAGAACTTTACCAAACTATTGGTTTGAAGGAAGAGAGCATGCGGATGAAAATTTTAGTATTGAATTAGCAAAAAATTTAAAAGAGAAAGAGGACTTTTCTAAATGAGTGGAGGGGAAGGATATAGAAAAGAAAGAAAGGGATGCCGTATCCTTATATTTCATTTTTTTCTTTTCTTTTTTTTTTTTAAACTAAACATATTGTTGGTTCCTTTTACTCTACAATACTTTCTCAATTCATTTCACAGTAAAGTTGGCGGGTAAACAAGCATACCTTAGAGTTTTATAAATGTAGCCACAGTTATTCATTTATCAAAGAATTCATGAAAAGTTGTCATGATGTCAACATAGCAAACAATTTCCCAGGGAAAGTTTTATTCTGTGTTTGGCTATGTGGAATAGATTGGAAATGAAAAACTATTAGTTTGGTTAATAAAAGGTTTCAGGTATATGGTAAAATGTCTACGAACTTTGCCCAGCTAAGAAATAAAAAGAGAAAGGCATTTTCCCCCGTTCCTTAGGGCTTGTTTGGTTGGGTTTTGATTTTATTGAGAAAGTTTTTTCTTAGAGTGATTTTTCTTTTATTTAGTGGTTAGGGTATTTTAGATTGGTTTATGAACATTCTGACAATAATTCCTCTCAGTTTTTGGTTAACAATAGGTTATTCATGCTGAGACTAAAAAAACTATAAAAAAATTATATTTTCATTAATCTCCTTAAAACATCGAACCTCTTCAAACCACAATTCTTTCGGGGGAAAGTTAGTAAAATTTGTAATGAAATTTTGTTAATATTTTGTTAGATTTGTTAACCTTTTTATGTTTGAGAAAAAATTTATATTGTAAAGTTGAAGAAAAAGATATCAAGTGAGTCTTAATTTAGAAAAGGTAAGGAGAAACTTTTTCTATCTAAAAATATGAAAAAAAATTTACTTATTAGTAATTGTGTACAAGAAAATAAAGACTAAAAAATAAAAAATATCAATTTTACTTTTTATTTATTATAATATTAAAATATAAAAATATTACTTTCTTAGTTTATTTTTAGTAGACATAGTTTAATTTTTTTTTTTTTTACTTTTAAGATACAAATTTAGGATAAAAATTTAATAATTTATATAAAAAATAATTAAAATTTTTTTGTCCTTATATATGGTTGTTGTTAAGTATTTTTATTTGATAAAAAAAATTTCAATTATTATTTTTATAAATTATTAAACAGTTATCTAAAATTTATATTTTAAAAAATAAAAAGTTAAATTAAGTCCACTAAAATATAGGGGAAGATATTTTTAAAACTTTTCTGGGTAAGAAAAAACTTTACCCTAACTAAACACGGTTTGGAATGGAATTTTGGAGAAATTGTTGGATTTGCTGGAACAATTAGGTTAGGATGAAGATAGATCCTATCTTTCCGTTAACAAACTGTTCTACTTTATGGTGTGTTTTAGGTTGCAATTGAAATTGTTATTGTTTTCCCAAAACTTTTGTGCAGACATGCACTACTGAAAATGTTACTAATTTATTATAATTAAATTAATTTTAATTAATATTTTTTTATTTTTTATTTAGTTTTAATAAGTTTAGTTTTTTATTTAATAAAATAAAGATATAAAATTAATTAATAAAATTCTATATTTATCTTTAATTAAATCATTACTTAATTAGACCTTTTTATTTGTATATATTATAATTATTTTTTAAAACTAAAAATAAAATAGAAATAAGCACACAATATTTAAAAAAAGAAGAAGAAGAATAACTAAATCTAAATACTTCAAATAATTAAAAATTAAATCTATTAAACTTAAATGAAGAGAGTATCTTCATCCTAAATAGCTGTTAATTCAAAATTCATTTCAAATTAATTATCCTTCTATCATTTTTTAAGGTGGATAAAATTTTTTTCCTATTATTGTTATCTCTTATATTTAATTATTCATCATTATCACCAAATTTTTTACTTTTATTTAATGGTAATATAAATAAATATAAATTATTTTTAAATTTTTAATTAATAAAAATAAAAAAATTATTTTAAAATAAAAAGAATAAATAAACATGTTTGAAAAATAATTATGACACGGTAACATACGTTTTGATAAGAGCACAACACAGGAACAAAGGCAGTCGCAACAACTACCAAACAACAATCTCAAACCACCCATGGTGGACCTCCTATCTACCTCTTTCGGGCATGGCCAATTCATTACTAATGTTTTCTTGACACAAGAATAATTTTTTCGTTGTACAGTTACAGATAATTACAACTAAAAGCTAAATAAGAACTCTCTGTCTGGAATCTAAAATCCCTCAGCACTAACAATCGAGTGTACATTTCTATCTGCATGCAACAATCATCTAGCTTCCATAACTGTAATTGAAACATGATCTGTGGAACAATTTTTTAACTTGAGTTCAGGAACGCTTGCTTCGTTCACAACTGCTGTGGTGCTGAAAAATGCTGGTTGCTTCGGTTCTGGCAGCGACATATATACTCTCGTTTGAAAGCATTGAACAACATCAGGCATGTTAGGTCTATATACAGCATGGTCTTGTACGCCTAAGACGCCAATATAGATGCGTCTCAAAATTTGATTATGCGAACAGATATCATTCAAAGTGGGATCCACTCACTCTAAACCTCTCCCATCCTTCCAAAGCTGCCATACCTGAAGAAAAACAGAGAATATTGCTTTTACAAAACATAAGGTAAAATAAAATAATATATTCATTCAAAAAGTGAATAATGATACAGAAGAAGTAAAAGGAAAAAGTGAACAGGAACTCACATATCCTGTAAGACTGAGAGGATGGGCAGGGTGATAACAGCTAGAATTTCTCCTGCCACTAACAAGTTCTAGCAACAAAACTCTAAAGCTAAACACATCAGTTTTGACTGAAACAAGGCCATGAAAGGCATATTCTAAAAGATATAACCACTGCAAAAATAATCAGAATGCTGTTTTTCAACATTTGTAAGGAAAAACATACAATTAACAAAATACAAAAGTATTATGTTTTGGTTGTAAGACTAGCATAAGCACTTACTATGTTCCAACTTCCAACAACTCTATTTTTATTTTCTTCAGATTCATCCAGCCCAAATATTCTAGCCATCCCAAAGTCAGACACTTTAGGATTCATCTCATTGTCAAGTAAAATGTTGCTGGCCTTTAAATCTCTATGTATCACTCTCAATCTAGAATACTTGTGAAGATATAGCAGCCCTTGAACAATCCCTTCAATGATGATGAAGCTAGCGTCTATTCCAATTCAACAGCTTCTTTTTTGTAGGATGTGACTGTAAAAATTTAGATTAATTAGCATCAATTTCAGTAGGCTAGTAAGTGAGAGCAGTATAAGGCAACGTACTGATCAAGCACAATAAAACTTACCAAACAGAAAGTAGTTCAAACTTTTATTTGCCATGTACTCATATATTAATGTCTTTTCTTCTCCTTGAATGCAAAAGCCTAGAAGCCTCACAAGATTAGTGTGCTGGACCTTTGCAATTAGTACTGCTTCATTCTTGAACTCCGTCACTCCTTGGCCTGAGCTGGAGGAGAGTCTTTTTATTGCTATTTCTCGCCCATCAAGTAATATTCCCTGAAAATATCTTACTTTAGCAGTTCCTTATGGAAGTTCATGGTTCTAACTCATAAACATATATTCCCTTATAAACTCCTCCAAAGCCACCCTCTCTGAGCTTATTTGCATTTGAAAAATAGTTTGTAACAGATGCAATGCTTTCAAAGCTGAAGACATGCAGCTCATGATGTCTATCCTTCTTACAACCTTTTGATTTTCCAAACGAGATGGATGACACGTCATTGCCTTCCAGTTCTTTGATTATGCACCAGGAAAAAACAACAAGCATGCAGAAGCTACTCTGCAGCATCACTAGGCCGGTGCAACTTTGTCAACATGGCCACAAGTCAACAAAAATGGCCACTAAATTCTACAAAACTGCTAACTCCCAACTGCACTTTACTTGTCATTTATTGCCTTTCGTTAGATTTTACCTATAAATAGCCATGTTCTCACCATTGTACGTATCAAGTTTCAATCAAAATTTCAGTTTATGATTCTCCTCTTTTGAGTGAGTTTTTTGGGAGTGGATTCTCTAAATTTATCTATGTATCTTAGGTCTTGCCAACTTAAGTGGTGAACCTGGCAATCGAATTCATCGTAATGGATTCTAAATCTCACCAAAATCGGTGTTTCGATATCAGCTCTTACGCCATTTGGTATCAAAGGAAATATATTTGGAGTCTGCATGTCATTCTGAGCGTTCTAGTGAAAACCCGGTCGACGAACAAGGTAGCATGCCCCTCCATGCGCCACCGTCGTTGTCTCACGCGCCAGCCACTCGCACCACTGCAAATCGCGTGAACATCACACGCCGGTCATCTTCAACCTCTCATTCGACACGTCATCATCCACGTCATCATCCAGTCACTGCCACATCATATATTGCCACGTCATCTTGCCACATCACTTGACATATCATCAGCCACGTCAGTGACACGTCATCACCATAGCCGCACTCTTTTGCCAGGTCATCAAGTCCCTCAACTTATTTTGACCTTACAAATTAACCCCATAATTTTATAAATTTCAAATTACCCCCACTTTCAAATACTAACTTTCCAAAATGCCCCTTACCAACTTAAACTCATCATGCCTCCTAGAAGACAAAATCCTCCTCGTCAATGAGCTGTTCGGGACATAGAGATGGAAGAACTACGTCAACAAATTCAAAGGCTTCAAGAAAGGCTCAAAGCTTTTGAGGGACAACAAGCTCAACACTCGCAAGATGAACCACATGAGTCAGAAGAAGATACTGACAACGAGAATCCCTTCCATCACCTAAGGGATAATGAAAGCTCATCATCAACAAGAAAAGTTCATCGTCGACAACGTCCCCAACAAAATGCTGCTCCCAAATCCACTGACCTTGGCATCAAAATTGATATTCCAGATTTTGAAGGTCGCTTTCAACCAGATGAATTTATCGACTGGTTACACACTGTGGAACGTGTGTTTGAACTCAAGGATATTCTTGACGACAAGCGTGTGAAGCTCATCACCATCAAATTAAAGAAACATGCATCCATTTGGTGGGAGAATCTTAAACGCAGTCGAGAAAGAGAAGGCTGCAACAAAATTAGAACTTGGGAGAAAATGCATCGAGAACTCACTCGTAAGTTCTTACCTGACCGTTACTACCAAGATAATTTTGTTAAATTTCATAACTTGCAGCAAAAATCTTTGACTGTGGAAGAATATACTATGGAGTTCGAACAATTAATGATGAAGTGTGATGTTCGAGAAAAAGAAGAGCAAACCATAGCAAGATATCTTGGAGGATTAGACAATGACATTTCCAAAGTAGTTCAACTTCAACAATATTGGACTTTGGATGATGTCATTTGGCTAGCATTGAGGGTTGAAAAGCAAATCTTAAAGAAGAATATTACTATTGCTTCAAAACCACGAGATTTTGAAGCTAGGGAAGGGACCCAAGCCTCAAAGATTGTTGTTGAGACACCTGCCAAAGTTGAGAAGGAAACTAGTTTAAGCCATCCAACCCAGCCTAACACTCGAAAGTGTTTCAAGTGTCAAGGATTTGACCACATTGCCCTCAACTGTCCCAATAGGAGAATTATCACCATTATCGGAGGAGAGATTCATGAAGTCTTAGATGGTGAAGCAGAAAAGGAGATTAGTGATGAGATTAAGCCACAACTTGAGGAAGAACTCATCGCAGCTGACCATGGAGAATCTTTGGTTGTGCGTCGAAGTCCTCATGATACCATAACCAAGGATGAAGATTGGCTCCGACATAACATCTTTCACACCAGATGTACTTCTCGGGGGAAAGTTTGCAACGTCATCATTGACAGTGGAAGTTGTGAGAATGTTGTGTCTAGTTATATGGTTGAAAAGCTAGGACTGCCAGTCAAAGATCTTTCCCATCCATACAAGTTACAATGGCTACGAAAGGGAAACGAGGTAAAAGTAACCAAACGTTGCCTTGTCTCTTTTTCTATTGGTAGCAGGTACCAAGACGAAGTATGGTGTGATGTTATTCCTATGGATGCTTGTCACTTGTTACTTGGTCACCCTTGGCAATTTGACCGAAAGGCTATCCATGATGGCCATGCCAACACCTACTCGTTTGTGAAAGATGGTGTGAAGGTCAAGCTCACTCCCCTAAAGCCTGAAGAAACACTTGAAACGAAGGATGAGGACAAGGCTTTAATCTCCAGATCAACCTTTCAGAAGTTGCATCAAGAATCGAGGACAGCTTGTCTCTTGCTATTATCTAAAGTGAATGATGCCCCTTCCCCTTTTCCAGAGGAAATTCAATCTCTCCTTGAAGAATTTTCTAATGTTGTTCCTGATGAGACCCCTCATGGATTACCGCAATCTCAACAAAGCAAGGATTCTATCATGGTTGTGCCTACAAGACCAGACTTCCAGGTGACTATGGAGTCTCTGCTACTTTTAATGTTGTTGACTTATCTCCTTACTATGAGGATCATGAGCATTGAACTAAAACTTGAGGACAAGTTTTCTCCAACCAAGGGAGAATGCACTAGGAAAAAACAACAAGCATGTAGAAGCTACTCTGCAGCACCACTAGGCCGGTGCAACTTTGTCAACATGGCCACAAGTCAACAAAAATGGCCACTAAATTCTACAAAACTGCTAATTCCCAACTGCACTTTACTTTTCATTTATTGCCTTTCGTTAGATTTTACCTATAAATAGCCATGTTCTCACCATTGTACGTATCAAGTTTCAATCAAAATTTCAGTTTATGATTCTCCTCTTTTGAGTGAGTTTTTTGGGAGTGGATTCTCTCAATTTATCTCTGTATCTTAGGTCTTGCCAACCTAAGTGGTGAACCTAGCAATCGAATTCATCGTAGTGAGATTCTAAATCTTGCCAAAATCGGTGTTTCGATATCGGCTCCTACGCCAGATTAGCATTCTCTGGTTAATGTTTTCATCCCCTAATTGAATTAAAAGGATTTTTAGGTATAAAAATAAGTTAATTGACGATAGACATAATAAATGCCCTTGTTGCATAGTGAGAAATTGTCCATCTGGTTTGAAGTTTGCCCAGATGATACATAAGACCAAGCAGAGAGTTGGTATCATCATGATTCCCCTAACAATTATCGTTAGCCATAACCACCATTTGTTCCCTGCAATTTAGTGACAAATACTTCAATAAATATCTTAAATCTTTATGCAAATTAAGGATCAGGTAGAAAGTTTTTCAGTAGGCTATAAATTTGTTGGAAATTTTGAGCACCATAATCCCACGCAAATGGAAGTATAAAGAAATTGAGACAACAATTTAACCTGATTCGACTTATATATCTCTCAACAAATCTATGTCCATGAGAAAAAGAGAAATAAATCCACTATTAAGAAAAAGAGTACAATAAGTTAGAAACTCCCTCTCTCACTCAAGAAGCGCTTAACACCCTAACTTCAATATATACAAACTCTCAAATTCATCATAATACTCTCTTAATCTACACAAGGATTATCTCACAATTTTCTCTCTTTCTTTTCTCTCACAAGAGTACTCACTCTCTTAGCTCTTCTCAATTTCTTCTTCTTTGCTCTCACTCTTGCTTGCCCATTGCCTTTGCATGCATTGGTATTTATAGTGGAAAAATCACAACCACCCAAGCAAGTTTTTTCTTTGCTCATTAAATGGGTCAATATGCAATTTTGCATGATTTCAACAAAGAAAATGATAGCCCACAACTAGTTAGGTTGGTGAAGAAATTTTACCACATGAAAAGTTGATGTGTTCACATGGGATTGGACTTTCTACCAACAATCTACCCCCTAACCCCATGGGAGGTTTCGACCAACAATCTCCCCCTACTGAAGAAGATTTCATCATGGTGTCCTATTTTTGAGAGTTTCCTCCTAGTATAGGATAGGACAAACCTATACTAGGTGCACTGCAGAAATTAATTTTGAACTAAGATATGATTTGAGAAAGAATCACATCTCCTCGACCCATTATCAAACACCACTTCATTGTTGAAGCTCACCTTTTTCTTGGTCTTATTAATTTCCTTGCCATCTACCAAGATCCCTTTAGTCCTTCACACCATCTTCCTTATGGTCTTGTTAAGCCCTCTCTTGAGATGTTGCTCAAGCACATAGATGTTGTGCCTGTTCTTCCTCCCATGCAAGACAAGTCTTCCACCATTGTAGACTTTGCTCCATTCTCGCTTTCCAACATACTTGTACGCTCATGTTGTCAACTCACTCAAAGCAATAATATTGCTTGAACACTTGGGCACATATCTCACATTCTTGAGAATCTTGGCTCTCCCATTGCGAACATTGAGATGAACATCTCTTATGCCTTCAGTATTCACTTTATCACCGATAGCCACTATTATTTTATCAAGCTCCCCCTAAGCCAAACTCACAAATTCAAAATGATTATTGCACACATGCATGGTTGTAGCAGAGTCTAAAATCCACCTTTGATTGTTTTGCTCCACCTCAAGATCACAGTCTTTACAAACTAATAATTCAACCACATTTTCTTCAACAATATTAGCCTCCCCCTCGCCCTTGGTTTCTTGACTTTTCATCAATATTTTCATATTAGAAAAGTTCTCCTTAAACTTCATGCATTTATATTGTTTGTAACCCAACTCACCACAATAAAAACACTCCACTTCACCATAATCCTTCTTAGGTCTAGATTTTGACCTTTCTTGATTTCCTCTACCTCCATGCCCATTGGATCTCCCTCGAGATCTCTCCATCACCAAAGCATTATTTTGAATGGCACCATCATCCTCCCCAGGAAACTTATCATTCTCCAACAACATAGTTGTGACATCTTTCATCACCAAAGTAGTCTTACCCGCTAGTATACTCTGCACTAGAGACTTGTAAGACTTAGGTATGGATGCAAGTAAAAGCAAAGCTTTCTCCTCTTCTTCAAAAATATCCCTGGCATTCACTACTTGTGTCACCATCATGTTGAAATCAGATAAGTGCTTGTGATTATTTATGCCTTCTGCCATCTTCACTTGATATAGCTCCATCTTTCAACACAACCGATTGGTTAAAGATTTTGAAGCATATATCTTTTCAAGCTTCTTCCACATGCCTATTGGAGTAGACTCTAAAACGACATTGTATTTCACTTCCAGTGTAAGAGCCAGTTGAATTTGACTTGCTGCCTTCTTTTGGATAATACTCCAATCGCTATCCTTCGCCTCAACAAGCTTGGTCTCTTGGTCTCTTCTAAAGTTACATCAAGTCCTTGACAAGTAAGGACATCCTTCATAGTGCTTTTCCATAGAGCAAAGTCATTCTCCCCATCGAACAACTCAATTGAATACTTCATAGTGTCAATTTGCATTTCCCCACAATATCCAGGAGCTCTACCAATAGCTCTAATACCACTTGTTGGCAATTTTGAGCACCACAATCCTATGCAAATGGAAGCGATAAAGAAATTGAGACAACAATTTAACATGGTTCGACTTGTACATCTCTCAACAAGTCCACATCCACAAGAAAGAGAAATAAATCAACTATTAAGAAAAAAGAGTACAATAATTTAGAAACCCTTTCACTCAAGAAACTTTTAACACCCTAACTTCAATATATAGAAGCTCCTGAATTCTCCCTAATACTCTCTCTTAATCTACACAAAGATTATCTCACAATTTCTCTCTTTCTTTTCTCTCACAAGAGTACTCACTCTCTTAGCTCTTTTGAATTTCATCTTGCTTGCCCATTGCCTTTGCTTGCATGGGCATTTATAGTAAAAAATCCCAACCACCCAAGCAAATTTTTCCTTTACTCATTAAATGGGTCAACATGCAATTTTGCATGATTTCAACAAAGCAAATGCTAGCCCACAACTAGCTAGGTTGGTGAAGAAATTTTACCACATGAAAAGTTCATATGTTCACATGGGGTTGGACTTTCTACCAACATAAGCTTCAATTAACCTCTGAAAATAACGTAAACGTACCTTTGGAAGGGAGGATGTATATTCCGAGCCGATTAAGTGTTCTTTTGAAAATCGCTCTCGATATCCAAATTTCACAACCAGTTTGATTGGCATAACTTATGGCAGCATAAGCAAAACAAGAACAATTTAACAAGCATTTGACCTTACAATCCTCAACAGTAAGGTCCTTTTGGTCGAATCTGAAACCAGCACTGGACATTGAACAATATATTGGGGGGATTTAATCATACTCATCGTTGGGAAAGGAACGCATGCACTCAGGGAGCTCTGGCTTTGTGCATCCATTGCTGACAATTGGGTCAACCTCCAGACCCCCGTACCAGTCAGGTTTGTAACAAGAGACTAAGAACGCAGAATTTGGGGTGTTATAGATAAGGCGTGGCGGCTGTTTGTATAGTTTATTATTAGAAAATAGCTTAAATTATTATTAGAAAATAGCTACTCCTCGTCATAATTGAAAACTGTGAAAATTCAAAATGTAAGCTGTGGCGACTGTTCGCATGGTTTTTATCCTTCACTGATTGATGGTCCATACTCTATTAGTTTCGATCTAAACTTGACATTTCAAAATAATTCCACGTTCAGCGAACTAGGCTGCCAACATCTTGCATCCATGTTAGTTTTGCATGAAGTCAGAGAGAATTTAGCATAGTAAGATAGAACAAAAGGAACAAAATCAAAATTGAAAGTAAGTGATAAGACTTTTCCTGTTTTGTAGTCTATACTACAAAAGAAAACCCATTAGTTGGGAGACGGCTATTAGAGAGTCCATCCCATTCAATGATTGTACTGTAATTGTAAGACACTTTTTTAAAACTATAAATACAAAACCTCAAAATTAGAAGTTGTGTATCCATCGATCGTCCCTGGTCTCTTGGGCCTGAAGATGGTCTGAATATTTTTTCGTAAAAAATAAATATTAAATAACAAAAATTAGAAAAAAAATATTATTCAAATAAAGATATACGGATCAAAATCGGTCCGTATGTATCATGAGCAAAGTGCTGAGATTCATTGAATTTATGGACCATTACCAATCTAAATAGTTATGGATATTTAGACCGAAATCAGTCTGAAAATAGGCATTAAAGATTCCCTGAACCGATGAGATGTTGGGGCCCACTGTTAGATTTATACGAATCGAGATCGGTCTGTATAGGGTCCCTTACGGCCTTCATCCTCGCGGCGCCCATCCCCTCCCCTTTTGCAATGCATCTGTGATTTTCCTCTGTTTTTTCTTCCTTTTTTCTTCCTCTGTGCTGCAAGCTTCTCCTCCTCCAATCTCTAGCCAACCACAAAGGCAAATAACATTTTCCATTAACCGGCGATCTCGCTGGTTTTTTTTTTTTTTTTTT